TAATAAAAAATAATATGTAACCTTTTAAATAAAAAAATAAATTTGTATTTCCAAAGAGCACCGATCACTTAAGAAATATTGCAATAATACTTTTTGATAATGGGCGAACTCCGAATAAAACTGCGCCTACTTCCCATATAATACAACCCCAAATTTCATCTGGTTCATACTTAACAATAAATAAATACTAGATAAATCAAGCAACATCTTCAAGATCTGACATCCAGTACGTTAAGGTTCATTCCTTTGATATCGCAATAATATTAAAATTTAGATTCAATCGATAGTAAAAGGCATAGCTTTAATATTGCAACCTCAACTAATGGACTACTAATGCCCATATTACGATTTTTAATCCAAAAACATTATGGTTAAAGTTTTAAAAATCGGTATTATGGTTTTTAACTCAACCTGTCAAAACAAATTTCGGTTGAAGTCAAATTTTTTTCAGTATATCGATTTCCAGCTCTGTGCCAGTGTGGTTGACCAGAGAAAACTTTCAACTGCTAACAAAAAGTTGTGGTTATACATTAATGAATTTATTTGGTCAAAATATAATATTAAAAGAAAATGGAAAATTTGTAAAAATAACTATTTTTTTATATGTTCAAACCATGTTAACCAGTTATTGTATACAAACTCATAGATAGGTAAAAAATGTGTTGAGTTCGTAAAGTAAAATCCTAACACGGGACTAAACAAGCTAAAAGGTTGATGACTAGCAAGGACAGTAGCATGAAAATTGAGRARGTGTGGTAAGGTTCCTTTATCTCGGAAATAACTTATGAATCTGCARTAAACATTAGTTAAAAGCCATTTAATTGTCAATAAAACTTTGGYTTTCTTGTTATACCCTGAACAGTTTGGCACGAAGTTTGTAATAAATATAAATTATATATAAATGCTCAGTATGTTGAGCTGAGCCGATATAGCCATGTTCGTCTGTCTGTCTGTCGGTCCGTCCGTATGTCTGTCTGTCAATTTTTAAGATATCGTTTTGAAATATTTCAAACGTCTTTTTCTTTTCAGGAAGCTGCTCATTTGTCGGAACTGCCGATATCGGACCACTGTAACATATAGCTGCCATACAAACTGAACGATCGGAATCAAGTTCTTGTATGGAAAACTTTCACATTTGGCAATGTATCTTCACAAAAGTTGTGCACAGGTTATTTTCTAAGAAAATAATGTAATCTCCGAAGAAATTGTTCAGATCGGCTTATAGCATATAGTTACTATACAAACTGAACGATCGGAGGATTTCTAGGGCAACAATGAAATCTCCGAAGAAATTCTTCAGATCGATTARCTATAGCATATATCACTCATACAAATTGAAGGATCGGAATCAAATGCTTGCATGGGAAACTACCTCTTTGACTATAGTTTTGGCCCAAACATTTTTATAATCGAAAATAAATACGGCTGTGTAAACTGACGTTAAGTAATACCAAAAGCATCATAAGGTTCGCCAAGGATCTCTCCGAGTCGTTCGATACCAAACAAGGTTTCAGACAATGCGACTCCATATCGTGCGACTTCTTCAATTCGAGCTGCAGAACTTAATCGAAAAGGCACACTCCTTTGTAAGAGTGTACAGCTGCTGACGTACGTAAGTTACGAGTTTAGGAGAGTTCTGCGGAAGATTGATGGTCCTTTGGCATTAAAGAAGAAGAATAAGAAAATAAATCAAAACTTATCTTCATTTTAATAATTATTCAGCTTTTTGTGAACAATAAATAAATAAAATTGTTTTTATTTTTTCTTCAAAAATTTTCAACTATGTAATTATCTCTCCAATCTTTATTTTTTAGGTTTGCCAACCAGACACCAATTCGTTTGGAAAACYGTTGAAACTCGTAATATCAATAACGAGTTGGGTTGATGTGAAGTTGAGTTGCTTTTACTTCAATTTAACCGGGTTTAGTTGAAAACCGTAATATTGATAGAAAGGACCATARATTATTAAGATAGCTTATTTGCTTCACTATTTCTCTAGAAATAGAATCCAAATATTCCAAAAAAATTACATACGAAGATACCTATAAAAAAAAACTTGTTATTTAGCTGTTATTTATTATTATTCAAATAAATAATTKATTCAAATATTGATACAATTAGTTTAAATTTAAATTATACAATATTTAACAGGAAAATTAACTGTTTAATAAGATGTATGACCTCCATTGTGAGTACGCCTCTTCCAGGCGTCTGAGCATTGAATTAATAAAAGAATAACGTTTTGTTGAATTGTTAACCGATTTTGCGGCCCTGTCTGAGAACCTTGGAGGATAACGCAGACCAAACGTTTTCCAAAGAACTTAGATCGGAGATAATATCAGACCAATCAATAAATGAAGCACTGTTAGCATTTCATACATCAGTTTAATGTCGTTTCCAAGTTCATTTTTGTTATTACAAAGCAAAATGGAATTTTCCTCTATAAGTTATCCCAGCTCAAACCAACAGCGATCCGCCAGCGGGCCATCCTAATTAATTTTTTCTCATCAGTGAAAACAACTAATTTTGTTTGTCGGTCAATGACGCACTTTTTGTCATAAATACTATCTAATTCGCATTCAAGTATTTGTTGCACTCGTCGTACTTTTATCTCCAAGTTAACTTTTTGTTTCATTTGTTTCACATGTAATTATTCCTGCATAATAATCCAKGAACGTAGCATTACGTTTTAGCTTTCAGTTTACTGTTGGAGGCCTACCGCTTCGCTTATTTTTCCAAAATTGTTTCTTAGTAGTAAAAAAAATGCTTCCAACATTGTTCGATCTGTTTAATCGTCTGGAAATTTCTCGGTTTGACCACCTTTTTACTTTTTCCGTCAAAGCTTTTCTGCGAGCCATTATTCACGATTTGGAAAAAGTTAAAGATTTTATGAAATTAACTGGCAAATTAAATTACTTTTCCAACAATAATTATTAACCCACATGTAGTTGAGTCTGTCACAACCAAACAAACGATTGAAGCAGATAAGTGACATCTGGCTTTATAAATATTTCGCTCTAAAATAACAGTTCTTGTTAAACAATCGCCGCCTACTGCGATAAAAAAAAATTAAATGAATAATATTTGTGGACGCTTACACCAATTTTTCCAAGAAAAACATGAAATTAGGCGATGGCTTCATATACATACATAAATAGTAAATTAAAAGTAGCTCACTACTTTTCTAAGTATGTCCTGTGTTTTCGAGCTTCTTACTTTTTGGAAAATATTGCTTCAATTTATTTAACAATATTGGCATAATTATTCAACAAATTTTTCAAACTTTGTGTATGGCGAGAGTAACTTCCTTCTTCTTCTTAATTGGCGTAGTCACCGCTTACGCGATTATAGCCGAATTAACAACCGGGCGCCAGTCGTTTCTTCTTTTCACTACGTAGCGGCAATTAGATATTCCAAGTGAAG